TATTGCATGTAAAATTCCTGAACTTTTTGTAATTAATTTAAAAATCGAAGGCGGATTTGCCTTGAATTACTTTAGAAGCAACCAAGACCCTCGAAAATTTTGTGAAGATTTTCCGTGTGTTTGAATTATCTTTTCTGCTCTCACAAGGTTCCATTTACAGGTGTTGTTTTGGGGGCTTCGGGGTCTGAAGCGGATCAACTTCATGAAGGTGGACAAGCCCAAGGTCATCATAGAAGTCGGCAACTCCATGTTGGTCTCGGAGGCCATCTTGGACATCGAGAGGAGACCAAACTTCACGATCCCTGTCAAGTTCATCGCCGAAATTGTGAGTCACTTGAGCAGAAACAAATAATACATCAAAATGTTTCCAAACGATATCTAGTTACAGAGTTATTCATAAAAATAAACCTCCCAATTGAGTTAGAACCGAGGTGGTTAACTCATAGAGTAATTTCGGATAGGGTACACCGTCTGCTCGTCACGCTATCTTATTTTCGGCCGGATAGATTCGTGCAACTTCTTAGTCTAATACCGATCCTAATCTTACTCTTATACTATCTAGTCTCAGGTTGTTTAACTAGTCTCTGCTAGGCTCAATAGATCTAGGGTATACTGGTTTATTGCGGCTGCTGAAGTTCTCTTGGAGAGGCAACTAATTTCTAAGTTAAATTCAAATCTCTCTGGTGCTGAAATTACAAGTAATTTCAGCACTTAAAAATAAGTGGGTTGTTAGTTAGATGGATCATGATTGGTTAATATTAAATACTTTACAGTGGTAAAATATCTAATTTATCCAATCATAAAATGTAGTTTAGATCAGGTTCCACCCATCCGGGTTTTACAGAGTTTTTTAGAATAGTCTTTCTGCAATTTAAAGGATGGATGATGGACGTTGGTATTTGGCGAACATCATATTTCTTCTGGGTTTTCTTGTTAGAGAAGTTCCAGGTTCAATCGCTGTGTCTTCTCATGACAACGACTGGGTTTTCGCAACAAACTCAAATCTGATTTCAGAATGGTTGGCTATGACAGGTTTTTCTGTTCCATGTAGAGAACTTCTTTTGTGTTCAACCTAGTCTGGGAATGGCGTGGAGATTGTGCGTGGAGGGGATGCCTGGTTACTCGGATCTGTACGTATACTTGAACATCGAGGTGGTCATTGGTCTAGTTCAATGAAGTCCTTTTCTGCGAAGTCAAGTCGTACTCTAAATCCTTTGAGTTGTGATTGTGGACGGCATATTGATTGTGGTTGGCCATTCTTTTTAGAGTGTAGTGGTGTCCTTTTGTCTTTGGATGTTCGTCTTTGGTGTTGTATGCTGATCTATATACTGCAAAGTATGTTTTACATTTTATAAAATTTTTATTAGTTTAATGTTTTAATTATGATTTTGATTAGTTGTTTTCACAAAAGCTTTTTGTTTTAGTTCGGTCATTTTGAAGAGTTACTCACCCTTGAGTATCTCTTATTAAAAATAGGAGTGTGGTCACAAAGCGTGGATGTAGCGCGGTGGGTTAGGCCGGCTATAGAGCATGCTCAGGACGTCCTCTCTGGTGGGTTAGGCCAGGAGTGGGAGTATGATTTCGTGCGGTTTTCGTGAGAGTTCCTGTTATGTGATAACGTTTTATGTTGGGTTTATAGTGGTTTTTCTTATGTTTCGTTGGTTGTGTCTTTTTTTCAAAAATCAAATTGTTTTTGGTATGGGTTTGTCTTTCGATTTTTTTGTGTTTTATTATTTCTTTCTTAGACTTTATAATAGTCTTCATAAGAATAAATTATCCAGTTTTAAACTGGGTTAATCCGGTTTGGGTACCGTTGGTTTCCTTTTCTTAGTCATGCTGTTATTCTATGTGTTGTGGTGTTTAGTAAGCTGCGTTGGTTAGTTTTCTTTAGTATATAATTCCTTTCCAACCGGGTTAAAGGAAAGTTTGAAACTTGTTATCGTGTGTTAGAGTTGTTGAGTGTGAAAGCTTGAAACTGAAATTCATTATTTAAACAATTCTTCGTGGGCAAGCTGTGCGAGTTTGGATAGAATTCTTGTGCGAGTGAATGAAAATATCGAGTACTGCATTTTCGTTTTATCAATTTACTACATAGAATTTCAATTTTACTGCTAGTTTTGGGGGAAAATTAAGTTACAAATTTTCATCATTATTAGAATAACTGCTTTTAGGGAAATAATTTATAAATTAATTTACTACATTGGTATGAATTTTATTGAATTTATCTAGTGCAAAATATTAATAGAGTTTTGAATGAAGAAGTTTTCTATTTTTTATTTTTCTTTTGTGTAATTTGAAGGTGATCGTGGGATGAAGACTAAAAATCTAAATAAGACATGGATAGGAATGGTTAGTATTTATTTCAAATTTATTAGTAGAGAATATGATAAATTATACTTACCTGTTAGTCGTCGGGGAAAAACCGTGGGGGAAGATGTCGTGTATTATGTCGGAATTTGTTAGTAATTTTGCTAGTATGCGAATGATGTTTTTAGTTTGAAGCAGTGGCCAAAACAATTGAAGTGCTTTAATGGTTTTTAGTTCTTCAGTGCCAACTGCAAAATCATAAGGTGTGTTTTGGATGAGATTATATAATTTGTGATTGTATTTAGTGTTGTGAATGAATTCTAATATCGGGATTTCTATAGGTTGGACAAATTCATGTGGGATAAGGAAGGGTCTGGATTCTTCTGCGTTGAAGGTCTTCGTGATGGGACAAAAAATATACATTTGGGTTATGGGGTCATTATTGCGAAGAATACCGTGAAGGTTAGAATCTTTGATGCAATATGTGAAGTTAAGAAAAAATGGTGAAGTGTACTTAGAGTTAATAAATTGAAAACGATGGTGTGGTTGTCTTGATGGAGTGTGTAGATCAAAGTGATTTTGTATGAAGCGATAATATGTGTATGTGTGGGTTTGTTTAGTGCGTAACATAATGTCGTGTGAGCAGTGCAAATCTCGTTCATGTGGTGCAAGGAAATGAAAGGTTAGTGAAAATAATTGAAATTTTTCTTTAAAACTTTCGTAAGCTTGTGTGTCGGTTAGTGCTTCAGAAATGATGTGATCGAATGTGATCTGTGATTTGTGGGTTAGCGAAACGGTCATCATCTAAAAATTGGTCTTGGTTAGCTCAGATGATGTTATGATCGTAATATTCTAGCGTATATTCGTTAGCTCGGGGTGCAGTGTATGTTTTTAGTGACTTTTTATATCCTATATAAGTAAATTGTCTATGTGTTAGGGGTGTGGTGAGTCGATATAGCATATTTTGATTTCTTTCTATATCGATGTGAGTATTGGATAAAGGTAGGCAAAGGGGGTTAGTAAAATGATAATATGATGTCCAATGAAGTGTAGGCATTAAAACTTGTTCATCTACAAAACTACGTGTGTCGTTAGTGTCGTTAGGGGTATTCAAAGTATACTGTGGAAATGAGGGTAAGGTGATGGCTAAAAAATCTTTTGTGTTAGTGTGATTTGGATGATTAATATATTCACGGGCTGTTCCTGGTTTTGTTGGAAATGGATGGTTTGGGAATTTTCTTTTGAAAGTGCGGTAAGCTCGATTAGTGCTAATTGATGATTCGGTGGATGTGGATGATGGTGCTAATGATGCGGTATAAGCTGAAGAGGGTGTAGGGGTAGGTGGGTTTGATGATTCTATTGTGGATGAAATCTGGTTTATAGTGGGGTTTTCAAGGTGGAAGGGTTGTTGTTGTAGGGTGATAAAATTATCTAGTTCCTGGGAGATTTGGGGAGTATCTGGAGAATTGGATCATCGGTGTGAATGAAATGAAGAGTAGGTTGGGGTGACTTGTGAAGCATAAGAGGGTGTAGAAATGGATGGGAGTGGGTTATTTGGTGGGGTTTTGAAAAGCTGAGGAGTTGGTTTGAAAATTATTGGATGGAGATGGTTCAGAATCTGCAAATTCATCAGGGGTTTCAATATTTGGGTTATTGAGTTGTGAAATGGAGTATAAAACTGATATATGTGAATTAGTGTCTGAATTCATGCCTGATGTTACATTATTGGAAGGGAAATCGGGTGGCGGGAAAGCAAAAAGTGGAATCATTGTAATTGGAGTGTTGAGGTTGGTTGGATGGGAATTTGAGCGGTGTAGGGATCCAAGCTGTCGGCTCATCGTGGGCTAAAAAAGTTATTATTTTGAGATTGAAAAGCGGTGGTATGGGGTTGTTCTATAATTTGTTCATATGTATTTTCATCTAGTGAATGATGTGTCATTATATGTTGAATGGGACTTTGTGATATGGTTGGTCTAAAATTTGGATTATGTGTTATTGCTAAATTTCGAAAATTTCGTGGGGCTAGGGATATTGGATGGTTATGTGGTAGGGGTGGTAACTGTGGTGCTGTAGGCGTTATGTCTACATTATTATGTTCTTCGTCATATGTGTTCTGTCTTGTTGCTATTTTTGTGTTGTATTCTTTTATTTGTGCGTCTAAAAGAATTTTGTTTTTTGATGATGAAAAAATTCCAAAAAATCCTGCAAATAGTATGCGTGCTACACTTGCTTGTCTATTTACTTGTGTGTGTATAGCGCATGTATTATAGATTCCTTTTAAAAGTGAAAAAAGAAATCCTATAAAGTTAAACATTGCGTATAAAATAGTTAATTTTTCTAAGATGTAATAGGGCCATCCTAGAAAATCAAGAATTTCATTTTTGAGTGTAACACAGCTAAAAATATTTATAGGTGAGATATCTTGTGGTCGGTATTTTTCACCGTTTAGATATATATAGTCTTTAATGTCTTTAAAATATCCGCTATAGTCTTGTGTATAAATATCTGCAAATCCTGCGGTTTCGGCAAGTTTGCGTAAGTTTTGGTCAATTGATTGTCTTTGTATAGTGTCCATTTGTGTTAATAATTCTTGGAATTGTTGTGTTCTAATGTGATGTTGGATATCGGATTTTGAATATATTCCAATTGACTGTAGGTCAAAATTTGGGTTTCGAGCAATAGCTCTTATGCTTTCAGGTGAAAATTTTTTGAGTGATTGCATTAATGTGGGATATGGGGTAAGAAGGTAGTATTTATCTTCATCAGGGTTCAGTTGTACTACATTGTGGCTATTTTCTGATCCACATGGGACTGCGGTATCCCAGAAATAGGTTCGTCTTGAAAGTGTGTCAACGAAATGTACTTCATTCTTATAAAAGATAGGGATTCTTTTATAGCATCGTTTATCTTCAAAAACATATAGTGGTGATACTTTTTTGGTACAGGTATAAAACCATAAAATGTTTCCTTCGTAGTCTAAAAAATTTGATCTATTTCCTGATAGTAAATATCCTGCGT